TGGAATATAATTATAAAACAAAAGATAGCTTGCCAGGCAAGGTAACATACGCCCACTGGCAGCTGTCAGAAATGATTAAACAGTCTTTAGTGACTACAGGGTTGCACAATATAGCTAATAGAGTAAAACGTCAAGTCAGACACGATATTTCGGTGAAATATTATCTGATCATCGCGAAAATCGATAGGGATCATCTTCATAATGACATTGACATACAAAATCAAAATCAAAAGAATCTGTAAAGAATTGTAGCCTGTAGAGTGAGCACGAGTTGCACAATATAGCTAATAGAGTAAAACGTCAGGTCAGACACGATACTTCGGTGAAAAATTATCCGATCATCATGAAAATCGATAGATCATCATGAAAATCAATAGGGATCATCTTCATAATGACATTGACATACAAAATAAAAATCAAAAGAATCTGTAAAAAATTGTAGCCTGTAGAGTGAGCACGAGTTGCACAATATAGCTAATAGAGTAAAACGTCAGGTCAGACACGATATTTCGGTGAAAAATTATCCGATCATCACGAAAATCAATAGGGATCATCTTCATAATGACATTGACACACAAAATCAAAATCAAAAGAATCTGTAAAGAACTGTAGCCTGTAGAGTGAGCACGAGCCAAATGTGAACGGACAGACCGACGGGGTGATTACAATATACGCCCATCTTACGTGTGGGCGTATAAAAATTTTGAATAAAAAAATTGTATTTTCACCTGGTTGGAAATTAATAATCACCCAGGTGATGATTCTAGAATTTTGAATTAAAAACTTAAGAACATGGGTGAAAATTCAAATTTTGATAAAATATGACTGAATTATCACCCAGGTGAAAATAAAAGTTTTTAATTATAAATTCTAGAATTATCACCTAGGTAAAAATTAATTTTCACCCGGGTGGAAATTCAAGTTTTTAATAAAATATTATTGAATTATATTTTCACCCAGGGAGAAATACAAGTTTTTAATTATAAATACAAGTTTTTATTTATAAATTCTAGGTGAAAATTCAAGTTTTCAATAAAATATTATTGAATTATCACCTGGGTGAAAATTAATTTCCACCCAGGTGAAAATACAAGTTTTTAATTCAAAATTATGTTTCATAATCATATTCTAGTTTTTTAATTCAAAATTGAAAAAAAATAAATGATGTGGTATACGAACCACCGTAGATAGAGCTTAATTTCCACCATCTTTTTTGGGACTAAATACGTATTTCTCTACCTTTTAGACTCTTGTTCCCAGTATTTTATCGCTACTGGTACCCGTTCTTCACTATTACCATAGTGAAAGGAGTCAAGAAGTATTCATGAATTTTTTGTTAGGCAATGAAAGATTTTTTATGAAGATTCTCATGAAACTAATAAGGCGCTCACAATTTAGGCGGTTTTCCATGGGATGATTTTTTTTCGCGTAAAGTGAAATTTTTCGTCGCAAAATAAAAGCGCTAGATGAATTTTGATTTCCACTGTCATCGAAGATCGACGTTAGCGCTATTTTAACGTCCATGTCCATCTGCGACAAAATGGCGGCATTCAACAAAGCCCTGCTAGTGTTTATATTTACTAGTTCTAATTATTTTCCACATTTTGTTTTATTTCCTCTGGATCCAAAGAAATTCGTGGGCCTAGAGTTTGTTTGGACTGATAAGTCGGCTATGCCGTTTTCTGCCATCTTTGACATCATGATGTTGACGCTGTTAGCCAAAATTCTCGCATCTGATTGGATAAGCTAATTGCGCGAAAAATTTTGTCGCATAAAAGTAGAACCTATTCCTATTTCTTTTGCGATCGTCATGACGATTTTTTTCGCTGCAAATTCTAGTACTTCGTATCAATACGCATGCACCTGTACAAAAAAATCGCTTCATGCGAAAAAAAATCCTCACTTGGAAAACAGCCTTTAGGCTACTGCCTATTTTATTGTGCATTTATGGAATGTCAGAATTCCATTCTAAAAAGTGATAGAGACAGATAGCTGAATTTAGTTCTATAAATTGACCAAGCAAATATTTAGTTGACTATATCCCTCTAAAGTGACAGGTAGTGAAGCGTGACACCAGACCAATTACTCCAAAAGCATCAGCCCTGGATTCAATAATGATGTGAGAATACTCTACCCTAAATTTCTCCACTATACTACTCTGTAATGCACAAATCATACACAGTTAAGTTCGTCCTTCAGAATGTAGGTTTAAAATTCTGAGAATCTTCACCCAGGGTTCTAAGTATCCTCACCCCAGTGTTTTAAGTATCCTCACCACAGGGTTCTAATGGTTCTAAGTATCCTCACCCCAGGGCTCTAAGTATCCTCACCCCTGGGTTCTAAGTATCCTCACCTCAGGGTTCTAATTATCCTCACCCCAAGGTTCTGAGTATCCTCACCCCAGGGTTCAAAGTATCCTCACCCCAGGGTTCAAAGTGTTCTAAGTTTCCACACCACAGGGTTCTACGTATCCTCACCCCAGAGTTTTAAGGGTTCTAAGTATTCTCACCCCATGGCTCTAAGCATCCTCACCCCAGGGTTCTAAGGGTTCTAAGTATCCTCACCCCTGGGTTCTAAGTATCCTCACCCCAGGGTTCACCCCTTATTGGCTTCTCACTCATGTTCAGTGAGTTTCCTTTTTTTCTCAGATGCCTTAAAGATGGGTTCCCTTATTTTCATTGATGAAAATGAAAATGATAATACTTATATGAATAGAAAGTAGAGGTGTTCTAATGACTTGGAAAAATACCAGTTTGTCTCACATGTCCATAATTAATTCATAATTAGATAAATAAGAAGAGAATTACCAATGAGTGACCGATCAAGAAAGGTCAAAAAGTCTTTTTTTGTTTATCCAGACTGTACATACATGGACATTTACGTTTGATAATTCATTAGAAGCACCAATTAATCACATAGTTTGCCAAATTTGAAACTAAAAAACTAGGATACCCATCTTTAAGCCCCAATACTAGACTTGAAAACCATCTGTCCTGATCCTGATATAAGGATTTTAGTTCCACAACTGGAGAAAACTGGAATTTCATACAAGCAAAACTCACTGCCCCTCTGAATTTCATCAATAAAAGACTCTTTAAGGGATCCTAAATAAAAGCTATTTTCATTTTTTGAAAATGGGCGCAGATCACATGTCGCCCCAGGAAGGACATGATATCATGTGTCCCCCCACAAATGGTCAAGCTTGGTTGAGAATAGTGTCTGTAATGGACGAAAAATAGGCCCAATTTGGCATCCGAGAACATCAAAGTGCCAAAATTTTGCCCCTGTGACACACTATTCGAACAATTTATGGTCGAGTGACAGGAAGACCATTCGTTTGTTTTGGGACCCATCTCCACTCACAGAAGCGTTGTTACAAAGGGGCACACGTAGCAAATTTTATCGTTCACATCTTCGCACTGGATGACTGGAAAATTCAGTAACAGGTAAGAAGGAGCCTTTCTTTCTATAATATTTCTGAGAGCTATAAAGATACGGTGTCACCAGCTCAACTGAAACGTTCTCATGCCGCTATACTCTGCAATCGAATTCGCACCTCGGTCCGACCCCTTTTGAATGAATTCTGTGTACGTCACTGGTCCACCCCCCCCCCCCCGCATTGAAAAAGCGATCTGCGCCCCTGTTTTTGGAGACATGCCCATCTACAGAAGTAGATGCAATCTACGAGAAATTGCTAAATCTATTTTATATCCTAGACTACATCTATAGAAATATTGTGGGTGACCGCTTGAAACCTCGTATAACGATATATGACGCGGAATTACTTTTCGAGGAAAACACAAAAAATGAACACATATTTTATTAAAATCTTTTTTACCATTTCTTTTACCGCTATACGTGGTTTTCACTTTGAGTTCTCCAGCCTATTGAACCAAAAACTCGTATAATAATACAGTATACGAGGTTTTTCATTTTCATCCGCAGAAAAAAGGAACATTGAACCTCGTATAATAATATATTTTACAAGGTTTTATATCTGACTGTTTATATACGTGTTATTTAATTAGTGCTTTTTGAGTTATTTACAATCAAGCTAAGAATACGAGGTTTTGATCACAAGATCCGCGCTTTTACGAGCTTTCAAACAGTATCAAAAAGTAAAAATGACCAAATATGGCATGTACAAGGTTTCAAGCGGTCACCCACGATATGCTGAAATGCAAGAATTAGTTGTAACTGCTGTAACTCTAACTACTCTTTTCATATAAAAACAAGACTATTTCAGCCCTACCTCTTCTTGTCTGTGAAAAAACGAGAGATCACCTGTTGTTTCTAATTTCACTGAATCTGGCTCTAAAATATAATAAATTAAAGATGGGTTCCCTTATTTTCATTGATGAAAATGAAAATGCTAATACATATATGAATAGAAAGTAGAGGTGTTCTAATGACTTGGAAAAATACCAGTTTGTCTCACATTTCCATAATTAATTCATAATTAGCTAAATAAGAAGAGAATTACCAACAGAATTCCAATGAGTGACTGATCAAGAAAGGTCAAAAAGTCTTTTTTTGTTTATCCAGACTGTACATTCTCATTCTCCAAATGACAGCTGAGAGGATTGTTTGTCTAAAAGGTAATAGACTTTTCAAAGAGTAGAGGGAAAGAGTTTATAGACTTCTTAAAGTGATACTATGTCTTAGAATTAACATAAAATTGAAGAATTTTAAACTTGGCCAATAAGAGCCAGTAGATATACCTGGTGTCATAAATAACATAACAGGATCCTTATATAATCCGATAAATCCAAAAAACTTAGTAATTATCCATAAATATGCAATTAACTATTGAAAAACGTTTAATATCAAGATCAAGCCTTATACTCATATTAACCATTTCTTGAACTTAAATTTTATGGTCATTCTAAGATGTAGTATCACTTTAAGTTATGCTTCAATGTATAGATATAAACTATTTGCACTTAAAGAGTCCATGTTATCATAGAACATTTAGGTTCATTTTTTCTGTATAATTACCTCCAATACTGTTGTTGATAGCTTCTTGTGATTTCTGGATTCCTAGTCGGAAATCTTTCAGTTCATGGCGTAGCTTGTCACCACGGTGATAATAAACTAGAGCTGTTTCGAAATCACCTTTCTGATACAAAGATTCTGCTTTCACTAGCAATGCCTGCAGAATAAAATACACCAAAATTAAATCCAAGTCTGGCCACTGAGCTATCCTACTGCCCTTACAGATGCCAACACAACTGAATACAAACAGAGCTATCCTACTTCCCTTACAGATGCCAACACAACTGAAGACAAACTGAGCTATCCTATTGCCCTTACAGATGCCAACACAAGTGAAGACACACTGAGCTATCCTACTGCCCTTACAGATGCCAACACAACTGAAGACAAACTAAGCTATCCTACTGCCCTTACAGATGGCAACACAACTGAAGACAAACTAAACTATCCTATTGCCCTTACAGATGCCAACACAACTGAAGACAAACTGAGCTATCCTATTGCCCTTACAGATGCCAACACAACTGAAGACAAACTGAGCTATCCTATTGCCTTTACAGATGCCAACACAACTGAAGTCAAACTCAGCTATCCTACTGCCCTTACAGATGCCAACACAACTGAAGTCAAACAGAGCTATCCTATTACCCTTACAGATGCCAACACAACTGAAGACAAACTGAGCTATCCTACTGCCCTTATAGATGCCAACACAACTGAAGACAAACGCCCTAGGGATGATAATGCAACTCTCTACCGATTGAGCTAAAAATTGAACGAGTTTTCAAGAACAAGGGCAATAACTCATACTAAATATATTTAGATTTTTCTGATTTTCAATAGGGTTAATCCATGAGTGATTACGAAAATTCACACTAAGTTTCATCAAAATCTATCAAGAATTGTTCCTACTAGAGTGTTTACGAGCTAAAAATTTAACGCGTTTTCAAGAACAAGGGCAATAACTCATACTAATTATTTTTTGATCTTTCTGATTTTATATAAGGTTCATCCTTGGGTGATAACAAACACTCACACCAAGTTTCATCAAAAACCGTCAAGAAATGCACCTTCTAGAGTGTTTACGAGCGCTTCAAGAACAAGGGCAATAACTCATACTAAATATTTTTCGATTTTTATGATTTTCAATAGTGTTCATCCTTGGGTCATTACAAACAACCATTGCAAGTGTTGTCAAAATTAGTCAAGAATTATGCCTTCTAGAGTGTTTACAAGCAATTGTGGACGGACAGACCGACCGACGGACATGGGTAACGACAATATACGCCCCCCATTTTATGTGGTGATTCAAAAAAAAGAAAAAACAGGCAGCAATAACCAATCACAGAAGACTTTTTGATGGGATCACCAATACCTTATATTGTAATTTTAATCTTAACTGCCTTCCACCATTTGTAGTTTGTTTCTTCCTCTGACGAAGTCAAAACTTTTTTTTTACGAAACGTTGGGTATTAAAGGATGGTCTTTGATGTCAAGTTTTATTATTTATTACACCATTTTATGTGGGCATATAAAAAAATCATATCTGTTCTGCTTTGCGTATGGGTGCATGTGAAATCTTGTTTTGAAACCTACTCTAATGTCTTTAGTGCCATTTTCATCTTCATATTTTAAGGCATGATCAGCATCTTCCAGAGCAGCCTCAGCATTCCCCAACATTAGATAACATTTAGCTCTGATAACCAGACAGGTTGGATCATCTTCCTTCATTTCTAAAGCCTGAAACAATGGATATAAATAATAAACTTTTTAGAGGGATGACAGGACTTAAAAAAATCTGGGTTAATGAAAGGTAATACATTTTGGCCAGGCATTATTGTGCTGTTAAAAAGAGTTTTCTCAGGGTACCAATTCAAATCAAGATCTTGACCCCCCTCTAGGGCTACCTTAATCATAAATCAACTGAAATTTTTTCATGGGAGATTTCACGTGAATAAATGAATGAATGAATGACTGAATAAAAATGAATAACTGAATGAATGAATGACTGAATAAAAATGAATAACTGAATAATACTAAAAATGAAAAACTGAATAACTGAATAACTGAATAAATGAATCTGACCAGAAAATATATTTTACCTTGGTGAAACTGTCAATGGCTCGTTTGTATTGTTGAACATGAACAAAATGCTCGCCTTCATCCCTCAAAGTTTCAAAGGTCCCCATCGTTTCCGGGGATTCCGATTGTGCATCACTGTCACTGTCCTTCCGACCACGCCCTCTACCCGGCATATTGATGGTTAATCACGATAATCTGATTAAATCTTGATTATTCCTAATCTGATAATCGAGTTTATAACGGCCCGGTTCAGTGACAATATCTCATAGTAATATCTAACGGGCACCTGTTGATATGTTGTCAATGACAACGGAAGTACAGTTATGTCAGCTGTTAAACTATTTTACGCGCTTTCTATCTTTTGGATCAACTTCCTCATATGACAAGATCATATTCAATATTTTGAAGGTTTTTTGAATTTCTGGAAGACTTTTACACAATTTTGATAACACTTTTATTCGAAAATAACAACAAGTTGAAGCTTGACAACAATTTAATTTGTTTAAAGATGGCGGACAAGGAAACTTCCGGTATGGATGAAAACAAAGCAGACGAAAAACCCAATAATTTGGAAGATTTTATCACTCATCATTATGAAAAGCAAAAGGTTGGAGATGATTTTTAACATCAATTTAATTCTGTCCCTACATTACATATCTACGATTAACTTGAGTAAAGGCCAACGGAAACTCACAATGTTGTGAAATTTGCTTCTTCTCACCATCCATTTGCCGACACTTACAGTGGTGTAACCTATTTTCGTGCATATAAGGATTCAACACCGAATTTCGTCAAAGTTAAAAACACAGAATTTTTATGCACATGTAAATTATTAATCATTTCCGGAGATGCACGAAAAATAGGTTACCACGAAATTAGGTTACTTGACTGTATATTGTATAAAAACGATATTTACCTTGTTGTTAAGCAATCTGATCACAACTTACATGTTGTTCAGTGCAGCATGCAACCATGTTCAAAATGTATGCTCGCTACGTTTCAAGATGTCAGATGCGTAGACCTGGTTTTTTAAATATTTTCAGGAGGAAGGCAGATTTGATGAAACCAGTGAAATAGATAATGAAAGAACAGAAAATTTCTTCAGCAGAGCAATTCAGGAAAGTAGAAGGTGGGCCTGCTATATTTACCTTTGAAACTTAAAGGAACAGGTGCACCATTTTTTTGACCAAGCCTATCTTCCTTAATCTCAGAACTGTGAATTTTTTTTAGCTATGCCAATCAGCAATGGGCCCACTGTCAAAATTTGAGCCTTCAAGTCCATGTGTGTCAAGAATTATCCATGTTTTCAAAGTTAAAAAGTCTCCTTTCTTGAGACATCTTTAGAAATAGGAAAAGAAATTCCTAGTTTGAGATATTTTTGTAGGAATTATGCCATCTTTGTACATTTCTAGTACTTCTGGAAATTATTTACACATATTTAAGACTCAAATCAACCTCCTAAAATGACTCATCTGTCCCTTTGACATAGGCCAAGTAGTTGTAATAATGAAAATTGTAATTGAATGTTGTAGGCTTATAGTCAGAGATATGTAAACTCATCTGGTTGCGACTCAAAACATAACCACTAACAACCCACTTCATTGATAGGTGACTGAAGTTCTAGCCAGTCCACAGATGCCTTTGTATGCCTATGTTTTGGACGCCATTTAATTACCAAACCTCTCTGCAGAAATTTAATGAAAATAATTATTAACTTTTTTCCTTCAGAATGAACAAAGAAATTGAGAAATCCAAAGCAAAATCTGACAAACTACACAATGAATTTGGTACAGAAACTATGACAGCATGGAGGACAGAGCATGCTGCAGAGGTACTTCTACCTGCAGAGGCAGAGCAGATTGAGCTCTCTCAAAATATCTAAACGGAGTGTTGGACGGTTTACAAATGGTAATAATTCATCCGCTCACAGTCATCAATATGTGTACATAATATTGTGAATTTGTGATGTATAAGGGGTCTCAAGTGACATAAATAACCATCCATTTCAAAGAGACACAGATAGAGGTTCTTTCAGCCATCAGTTATCAGTATCTCTTTTCAAGATAGCTTGCCAGGCAAGGTAATATATGACCACTGGCAGCTTTGATTTTGAGTAAAAATATTTAGCAGTGCAGTAACAATCACCAGTATGAAATATTCAACCTTCAGTCATACACTTCTTTTGAACTCTTTAGGGCGATACAGAATAATATTGAGTAAGAGTTATTGCCCTTGTTCTGATTTTCAATAGGGTTCATCCTTGGGTGATTACAAACAACCACACCAAGTTTCGTTGAAATCAGTCAATTGTGTCTTGTAGAGTGTTTACGAGCAATTGTGAACGGACGGACATGGGTGACGGCAATATATTTGATGTTTTTTCAGGTGAATGTTTTTTGAGTTATTGCCCTTGACTTAGGAGAAGCGCATCAAAATTTGCTTTTGAACTTAATAGTGACAGTTTTGAACTGATTGTAATGAAATTTGGTGTGATCATTAATACTGATGAGATCCTGAACGGTTTTTGGGTTGACTTGTGAAAAACGCGTCAAAATTTTTTTTATCCCTTGATTGGAGCTGTGTGATTTAATTGTTTGATGTATTTGGGTTATTGATATTGATTTTTAAAAATTTTGTGGAATTACTCAGCATAAATAACTGGCAGTAAATATATATGTAATTGAATTCAAACTAATAAAATTTCTTCAATATGAGAAAATTCGTACTTTAGTCACTAAAGACTGTTTTATCATTTCTGACAGCTGCCAGTGGGCGTATGTTACCTTGCATCGCAAGCTATCTTGGAGAAACTTTTTGGACACAGAAAAATCACAATGTTAACAGGTTGATATTTGATTTATTCATGATTTGAATGAATGAATGAATGATAGAATTAAATTCATGATTTTAATAAGTAACAAATAAAACAATAGACAAATACAAATTGGCAGTTGAGTTTTTTGATTTGTCTGGCTATTTCAAAAAATTAAAAATATGATTTTAAGATGGGTTCCCTTATTTTTATTTATAAAAGTGAAAATGCTAATACTTATATGAATAGAAAGTAGAGGTGTTCTAATGATTTTGAAAAATACCAGTTTTTCTCACATGTCCATAATTAATTCATAATTAGCTGAGAATTCCAGTAGAATTCCAATGAGTGACCGATCAAGAAAGGTCAGAAAGTCTTTTTTTGTTTATCCAGATTGTAATCCATGGACATTTATGTTTGGTTAAAACTCTTAATTATATGCAATAAGAACATAATGATATGATTAAGAATACATGATAATTCATTAGAAACACCAATTAATCAAATAGTTTGCTAAATTTGATACTAAAATATAAGGAAATCCATCTTTAAAGAGTTCATTGACTTTACTGTTCGAAAGAATCAAATTTTGGTAAATTTGGAACGACTTAAAATCCTTCCCACTGTGATTCTTCATTATCATTTCAATTTATTTAAAGTGATACTACGTCTTAGAATTAACATAAAATTGAAGAATTTTAAACTTGGCAAATAAGAGCCAGTAGATATACCTGGTGTCATAAATAACATAACAGGATCCTTATATAATCTGATAAATCCAAACTTAGTAATTATCCATAAATATGCAATTAACTATTGAAAAACACATAATATCAAGATTAAGCGTTTTTCAATAATTACTTAGTTTTATGAATTTTCCAATTTTCTAGATTTTACAGGGATTCTGTTGTAACTTTATGACACCAGGTAAGTTCACTGATGAATATATACTCATATTGACCATTTCAAGAACTTAAATTTTATGTTCATTCTAAGACAGAGTATCACTTTAATGGGATTGTAAAGAAGATTTCCAAATTTTTTATGTGAATCAGGGCGACCTTCCTATTAACCATCAGATGTCTGTGCTTCCTTTTACTACAGAAATGCGATATATTACAATATATCAGGTTAAGACTTCACAGACTTCTTACAGAAAATTGGAATGGTGCAAATTAATGCTATCAGTGTCCAAGGTACACATAAAAAATTCAGAAAACCTGTTGACAATCATGATAAAAAATTTGAGAATCTAGACTGAAAAAGTTTTTCTGAACATTTCATTTAGGAATTTAAAAATTAAAATTTGGGAACTTTCATAATTGCAGAATATGGTGGATCACCAATAGATTTAAAGTATTTTAGCTAGCACTCTTAATTACATATTGCTAATTAAGGAACATCAGCATCTCGTTCTATTCCCACAAATCGTAACTGTTCAGTTGGTCCATATCTGAAATAAAACAAACACATTGTTACATAAAAAGAAATTTATATTTTTATACGCCCACATGGAAAGGAGTCTTTGTGCTCTTGAAACATGTTGGACTTTAGGACGACTTAGTTTTATCGATAGCAGATTATTTTTTTGAATGTTTACCCATATGTTGTGCTATAGAGTATCCACATTATTTGGATCAGCTAAAAATGGACCAGTAAAAACTTTGTGAAATGGTTTGTGTGTCTTCTATTTTATTGAACACCTGTCCGTCCATCGGTCCACATTTCTTGTATGCACGATAAAGGCTACAATTTTTATCCGATCTTAATGAAACTTAATATGCATGAATGTATTGATGAGATCTTGGTCAAGTTCGAAATTGGTAATAATCGGATGAATGGTTTCAGAGTTATTGCCCTTGACTTAGTACAAACGTGTCAATTTTTG